AAACTTGGGGGGAAAAGTTCAGTTTTATTAGGTTCTTGTAGAGTTCATAACTACCTGCTCTAGACAGAAACACCCAAACCAAGAAGTAGCTCAGCTGAGGTTGGAAGCATCTGTTTAGTTGTAAAAATAAATGAGAGAAATAGCCTTTTACCACACATACACATACATGTTAAAGTTAATGCATTAGAGCAGTTGATTCTTCTATATACCGATTTCAGCAAACTAAGACTGACTTGGTATTTCTGCTTGAAATAATTTTCTGAAGAGAATACGGTGAATTGATGGTCAGCAGAGCTTTAAACTATACTAGACGTTTTGGCGTCACTACATGAATTAGTCTCATCCAATGTCATTGCTGGTCTCCTCTACAAGTAGATACCATCAGCTACATCATGTCTGTCTTCTTCACCCTTTGCCTTTGTTCTGCTCCAAGTCAAATATGCATTATATAATAGTTTTACATAACTACACATCTTACTAATACACCTTTTCTATAAAGATAGTACTTGAATATCATTGACTTTGTATTAAGTTGCTGCTCCAACCAATGTTAGACTAACCTGTTGCCTTTCTCTAATGATTCTCACTTCCCTCCCTTTTCTCTCAATCCTCAGAATTTTGTATTAGGGAGTTTTTAAAAACACTTCAGTCAAATTACATGTGAAAAACATAAAATGAAGGTTTTTAATGTTAACCTTGTTAGATCTCAGTTACTGACTGGATGCTATCTTATCTGATGCGTTGCAGCAGGGCTGTAGTGCTACATCTGAGTGAAAACGTTTAGACCAAGTCTATTTCTCCTAAGTTCTATAATTTATGCTTTTTATGATAATCTAGCTTAGTAAATGATTACTGTCAAAATAACCCTAGACAATCCATATATGAGAAGTTTTTATCCTTTTCCTTCCTGTATGCCCCTCCCCCATGATGTGAGCTTAGAATGTGTGTTGGGAAAGTGGGGGAACCAATACCAAGAAGAGAAGTGAAGGAGCAGAGGGGCACATGTTATTGATCATTAACATGCCCAAACAGCTGATAAATGCAGAAATGGCTGATCAGAAATTATCATCACACCCCAGCCTGTAAGCGTTGGTGTAGTATGCCTGGCTGCTGCATCTGCTCACGGCAAGCAGGGGCTCCTGCAGCTGCAAAGGCACCAATTTGCCAGTTTCCCACAAGGTGATAGATAGCAACAAAAAGCTTTTGCAGCACAAATAATTTTTTCTTTTATTTTAAGGGCTGGTTTCTTTCCCCAGTAAGTCATTTTGCCAGAGTACCATGTCACCTGCATCATGTTTGAGAAACGCATAATCTGGGATTGTGTTGTTTTTTTCTGTTGTTTTGTGTAGGAGTGCTGCCTCCCCCACTGTATTCCTGAAACTCGCACCTTGTTTGTAGGGACTGAAACATAATGCGTTTATTATGTGTGTTAAATAACTGTACATGGTTAGATATATATATATATATATATATATATATATATAGTTTTTAGGAAATGATTGACCATTTAAGCTACTGGTAATGTATGTATTACTCAAACAGAACACTTTCACATTTATTTGTAGATTAAAAAAAATACACATTTCCCAAAGTTTTGCCTTTTAATGAAAAAAAAAACAAACACAGAACTTTAGGAAAGAAATAACTTTTTTTGTTCAAATTTAACTCGACATTTAGTCTGATTATGTTGTAGATATCTAAATAATTACCCTTATGATAATAATAAAACAAAATAAGTTACCAATCGATGTTTAATATTTATTTATTTTAGTCAAAAATGCTGTTTTAAAGCAACATGAGTTCCTGTTAGGGTTATCTTTTCTGGTGTTTGTATTTTTATTACTGCCACCCACTGGACTGAAGGCATAGTGCAGTTTTCTTAACAGCTCCTCTAGAGGTTATGAAGCTGATTTATATCTGCTGCCTTTCAGAACAAAGGATGATAGAAGCACACAAATTGCTGGGGATTCATTTTATCGGTAAAAAAATCTTGTGGTACTCATTGGAAAAGGGGCTAAAGATAACATTTCTAACTTGATCCAACGGTGAGAAGGATTTTCAATGCTCAAAAGCATTCTTATTAATATGGCAACTTTTTACAGCAACGGTTCTTTCAAAATAAAATTGTAAAAAATATATCCAATTTTAACATTGTTACATTGTATGGTGTTAATTAGGGGCTAATTGTTGATATCACTTATAGACATTTTGACAAAAAATTCTGGTACATACAAAAAAGATTTTTACAATTTACAAATAGTTAATTTTCTGTGTTTCTGTATATTTTTGCATTAGCTGTGGTATCCGCTGTTTAAATAATGTGGTCACACATTCTGCAAATTCTTTGAATAACAAACATTAGAATCATTGAGAGGGATGTATTGATTCTTTCGCTGCTTTACTATTTCCAATGAAGCCAGCCATAAGTTATAGGATGCCTTTCTTTATTTAATCAAACTTTACGTTAGAATGAGTTTAGGTGTGGTGCAGAATTTGAGAAAACATTGAAGTTGTGGGCACTCAGTCCATAACACTATAGTTGGGCTTTTCCTGCGGATCTGTCATAGCAAAAATCCCTCTCATAATGCCTATGCTTTTGCTTTTTCAAATACAGCTTATGTACGTGTTTTCTGTACTAGAGAAGCTTTAAACTCCAAACAAGAGCTACATAGTGATGACTGTTCACCTAAGCGGCTATAGCAGGGTGTGTGTTAAATGCTGCAGTGTGAAGCGATGGGCCCCAACTCAGGAGGAAAAAGGACTCCGTTTTAAAATCAGTTCACACATATAATGAGCATTTTGGAGGGGAAAAAATTATTGGTTTCTGTGTTGATTTCCTCAACATCAGTTATTTTAACAGCCCCAGTGACAAAAAGTTGGACTTTAAATGTTCATTACTTTTAAAGAGTAGTTTCTGTAAGGATCTTTTACAAGGATATCAGTATAAATGGGGCTAAATACAAATGCTAGATCCATCACTTTATGTTGGGTTACAATATTTTGGTTGGAACATGTCAAAATATGAAACATTTTAAGAGATAGGAATGCTTTTGTACGATCTTTCTGAGGTCTTGGTGAACTTTTTCAATTTTTCACATTCTTTTAGAAGGGAAAGAATTTGAAAGGCACTTTCCTTATACACTCATAAAAAAGTAATCTACATAAAAGTTTGAAAGAAAAATTACAGTTTAACTGTTGCCAGGGTTTTTTTTTGTTTGTTTCTTTTGTCAAATGTAACCTGCACCAGTATCTTTCCTATTTTATAACCATTTTGAATAAAAAGCATCACTCCTGTTATTGGGGAACAATGAGCCTATCTACACTTTTTGCTATGTCTGGGCATGGTCAAAATATATCCCCAACTAAATAAAACACATGAGCAATCCCTAGATACTAACATGTAAAGTTTATCCCTAAACTGAAACCTATTCTGCTTTTATCAAGAAAACCAGGCAGACTCATTCATTTGGCAAGTCTTTTAAGTATATAAAACAAGCCTAAATTACGATTTCTCAAGTAAATGCACATCTGTAAACTTCAATGCCCTGAAATTAAGGATCATATTTATTTTTCAAATGCAGCATAAAGCTGTCAGCAAAAAACAGAACCTCTGGATAAAATTTGCATCATGAAAAACCTAAAGCTATCTTTAGATTTATTACAGCTCCTTTATCTCACTGACATGCAGCCACGCAGAACCGGTGCACAAACAGAAAGTAAGACTTTGACGAATGCTGGCTCAGCAGAGCACTCATTGTGGGAGGATTGTGGGAGATTGAGTTTACAGATGAGTCAAGGAGACCCATTACACTTAATATCAGTATGAATGACCTGGTAGTCTATGTTTAGTTTCCGTGTGGGAATCAAACCAACATCTGCTCAGTTGTTGCCTTTGTATTTCTGCACTGTGAAAGACAGACGATACATGTTGTTTGCTCAACTTTAGGTTACATGTGAACTTGGCATTGTAAAGATAAAAGATCGCACTAAATCTAAATATTGAAGGTTGTTAAATTGTTGTGTTACACACAATATATTCTAGCCTCATATTGGATCTCTTAGTTTTCTAGAAAATGCTGAGAATCTTTGAAGTTATAAAGAGAGGACTACAACAAGAGAGTAAAACTATTTCAGCTTGTTTGCATTAACAGCTGCATGTCTGCTGTACATAATCAGTTGAAGTGTCCCATTACACAAAATGAGACTCTTGAATAGATCGAGATATAGCTATTCTTTCGTCTGACACAGTTATTTTTCCAGCTAGCGTTACTATGATTACCACCAGTCTGCTTGTGTCAGCAGGCTGATAGTATGATCACTGCTTCTAGCGTTGTTAACATTTCTGACAGCTGACCTCTTTTCTGTCTTTTGGCAGTGGTTCAATGAGCCTGCAGTGCTGTAACCATCCTTGCAGATTGTATCTCATCAACAGGACTCTCAAAGTCGTCTCTGGCAGTGAATACAAAGCAGCCCTGCATTAAAACCATTTTCAAACAATCTCAAAAGATTTGTTCTGGCAATTTATTTGTATTGACGTTTAAATTGGGACATTAAAAAAAAGGTGACAAAGCTTTTAAAAGTTTCACTCTTATTTTGAGCAGTTGCAAGGTTAGTAATTCAACAGCTGCATATGCTGATGAATAATACTGTGTAATTTTGATTGTATGACTTAGTCAGATATCAATTAGAGGAGTGTGCTCAGAGCTTACAGGTGCACTTGAGTCGAACTCTGTGGAGTCATGGTCAGGAGTAATCTAAGCTATCTAGTGGTATTCTTGATGGTTTTTGCAGGGACTGAGTCCAACAATCTGTCATGTGCTTTACCTTTTGCCCCAACACTCTTAATCCTACTTTATCTTGCCAGTCATGCAAACAAAGGCATAGGCAACTTTTAAGGGCTCACTTGATTCCTGCATGATAAAAGTGACTCCAAAAACGTCAGCCGATGACTGATGATGTGTGTTCTTTAAGTGTCATAAAGAAAAATCAGCAGTACAGACCTTTAAATGCAACTCAGCAGTTTCTCAGTTCAGTAGTGCCATTGTCTGCTTTCCAGTCCTTGCTCTTACGGTGCACCGTTAAATGAATGAGTTCATTTACTGTAAAGATAAAGAGAGAGAAAGGTAGACGGGTTAAGAAAGCAAATGGTATTAAAACAGTCATAGGCATTTTTTGTTTTTCTGCCATTTTAAATGGCAGCTCTCAAGAAATGCAGCCCTGTTAAAAAAAAAAAAAAAAACACACACAAAAATCCCCAAAGTAACACCAGAAAAATGTGCATAAATGCTTTACTGTAACAGGTAGTTAAAGAGGACAGCTGGTCTGAAGTGATTTGAAACACTAAAGCAAAATACAAGTTATTTAGCATTACTTGACACTGTATCTTTAGATAATTTTTCCAACTACAAATGGTTATAAAATCCAGCTTTACAGTTTCTTAACGAAAATATTACCACTTCAAATCAACCTGCGTGCTTGTCAGCCCTCCCTAAATTCCAGACAGACAAAAAGTGTACAAAATGTTAATTCGTTTTTTTTTTTTTTTTTTTTATATTGAGCACCCGAATTTAGAATTAAGTTCCAAAAATATGGACTTCAATATATGAAGCTAACTTTAAGTCATAAGATCTAGTTTTTTTAAAGTAACAGGAGTTATATGATCAAAGCAAAAATTTCTTATCCTCTTTTTAAACACAAAAACACTAAAGCCCCAGATCCACACATTCTAAACCACACCTCAATGAAATTGTTAAACCCCCTTATCAGCTTGTCATTCATCTCTGAAGAGGCTTTATAAGGCATAAATAAAAGGCTCATAAAGTTAAAAAAGGAACACTGAGGACACGGACTCTTCATGACTGGTTTGATTGAGTTAAATGCAGATGAAACATAAAGACACTAGAGGAATCCTGTGCTGTATTTGTGCATTCTGTTTGTACTTAGATTCTGATCTCCTATTAGGACATTTATACTAAATCTCTCCTGAAAATGGGGAATCTGTCTGAGAGTCAGGACAACAGACAACAGAACCATGGCAGAATTCCACCCTCACGAAGGTTGCTACTTGCATCAACAGGAGAAATTCTGTCTTTTTACATGATATTTAGTCAGGCTTAAAACATACTACTTTCCATTATGTTTAAACTCTGTTTTTATGTGGAAAAGACTATGTAGAACCATTGTGATAATTGTAACAGTGAACGAAGTGACCTTATAGGCATAATGGGAAATAAAGCAGGGAACTAGTACGGTAGTTGAGATTCGATCACTTCAACTTCCAGGTACCAGCTACCAGTACAACTGTTAAACATGGCATGCTGGAGATTTCAGGAAGCAGATTACCACAGCTCCATGTATGCATCCTGTTTTTCTCTAATCTTAATTGCATTCCTTGCATTTAAGGGAATATTCCTGCATAGATTCAGAGCTTCTTGATTTCTGCAGGCCTTAGGTTCAAAAAAGACCATCCCCTAAAAGCTTTGGGGTTGATTCTAATACTGCAAAGAAGGGAAAATCTTTGTCTAGATTCCTTTAACAATCTGCAGGATTGCATCTAACCTGGTTACATGTTTCAGAAATTAGGACATGAAGAACAAAATCTGTGGATTACGCTGCCACTATGCTGTTTGGTGAGGACAACTCAAGATGACCATGGGTTGTTAAAAATCAGGGGTGAGTAACAAAGAATCTGGCTTTACACTGACTACTGTGAACTTTTGTTTATAGGTGAGAGCAGCTATTCATAAGTTAAAGAATTAAATCACACATTAATAAAAAAATTATGCTTGATCAAGATTTTGCCCTTTTGAACTTAGATTGTGTCCTTAATGTTTTTAGGAGTCCTTACATGTTCAGTGCATACATTTTTGTGGTAATTAAAATAAAAATGAATCTGTCTCTATGTCCATTTCTCTCTTTAATTCTGTCAGATAAGCATACCCCGTCAGACGAGCATACCCTTAGTCAATACGCATGTGCAAGATGTCAGATTTGCATACGCATATGCTAGTCCCGATTATCCCTTTAGTTTTGTACGAAAAATAATCTTTAAATTAAAACACCTAAATTAAATTAAAACACCTAAAAGCAAGCAAGTAAACTGTTTTTTGTACATGACTAAAGGAATACATGCCAGTTGAGGTAGTTTAAAGTGTATTTTTTGTAAAAACTAAAGGGACAAACTACAGGGATAAACAGTTATTGTTAGAAAAAAAATAAAAGTATTAACTATGAGTATGCTGGTCTGACGGGGTATGTTGATCTGACCACCGGACTTTTTGAAATTATTAACTCTTTTTTGTCAACCAGGTTTGATATCTAAGTACTTTTTCTGGACGACAGCCTTACCAAGAGGCAAACACAACCTGATCTTAATCACCTTTATTTTTATATCAAATGCTAAACCTTTTAAAACATTAAATACATGACTACTAGAGACTCTCTTTTTTCATTTAACATGCCCTTTTCTGAATGCTATCTCCCTACCAGAGCCTTTCCATCCACTCATATCAACCCCTGAGAATTTGCCATTAATAACTTTTTGCTGCGTTTGGGCTATAACATGTGCAACAGTTTGTCTGCTGTTGGTGAACAATGGAAACACTTTCCAGCAGAACAATTCTGTGATTTTACGAGGGGGAATAGACACCCACACTTCCATTTACTGCAACTGTTTTTCTACTTTGTCACAAGGAGAGTGCCTACATGTCTGAGCACACGTAGAGGGATGGTAAATGCCACCTAGAAACATAAAGATGAATAGCTGACTGTTTTCTATTGCATTTGATCAACATTTTCACTGTGCACTAAATTGCATTAACTGTGATTAACTTAAGTCAGCTAGGATGGAGCTCACAAAGTTACATCTGATTTTTTTTTTCAAACAGAAAAGAACTGCAAAATAAAGAAATATTTCATAAATGTGTAAAAAGAATTTTTTTAAAAGCTGTTTTAAAAGGGATTGCATCCAAATCCCATTCCTTATAGTTACTACAGCACTAAATTTGCCTCCAGATATATTTGTCTTTCATCCCTTGCCCTCCCTCCCTGCAGCTGTGTCGTCCTCTTCTGTTCCTGGGAGCCTGGGAGCGTCCGGACAGGGCCATCGTGACTCAGCCCGGAGAGGATCTGACTCACCTCCTCTGGAGTCTCAACACTTAATTCCCATGAAGGTGTTGCACAGAGATGGTATTGTGCGTCTGATAAGCCAGACATAAAACTGACAAGGGGGGGGGAGTGGAAACACTGGATTATTTGTCTCTGAGAAAGTTTACAGAAGTTTACAGAATTGGTCCCAATTCCTTCATCATTTTAAGAACGCACTCAGGAAGTTAAACTGTACATTGATACGTGTGTGGGTGTGTGTGTGTAAGTGTTAGTGCTTGTGTGTGGTCTATGGAGCTAAGGCCTAGTGTGTGTGGTCTCTGAATAATGGCTCGGTCAGACCTCCACGGATTGCCTTGTCAGACATATTTGTCATAGATTGGCTGCAGTTTAATCATTTAAAAAGATTTTTTTAAGACATTCAAAGTTTCATGGTATTTACACAAAGGTTTCAAACTCTTTCAAGCATAATTGCCTTAATTTAAAATAGAGAGGGAATCATTATTTTTGCCAAAATAATGCAAATTGTTATATTCATCTCAATAATTTTAAGTTCTTTTGATTTTTGCGAATTTTTTAAAAAAAATCCAACTTCTCCACTCCAAAACTGCGCATGCACAACCCTGTACCCACTCTCGAGAGGGAACGCCTATTAAACATGTGCAAGAGCGTGAACAAGCCCATTTCTCCTCGTGCATGTTCTGTTTAAAAGTTGCTGTTTGCATTTGCGATTTTTCCACTATGTCAGTATCACCACTGGAAAGTAGAAATGGGGACGAGCACGTAGGACTGCCTTACGTAAACATATCGCCAGCATGATTGACAATGATCCACTCGGAAAAACTATACCTTTAAGAAAAAATTCTGACTGATTAGGGGAAGGGCTGTGTTAGAAATTAATAGAAGAATTTAATGGCAGTTATAACAACAAAATGTTTTCTATCAATGAATGTTATGTCACTAAACTTGAACATGTACATTGAGTTATTATCTCTAGAGCGTGGCAGTCACACACCTAAAAAGGTTTGATGGAATGAAAAAGAGCAACTTTTTTGTATGCTACTAGTTGATTAATAATCTATCTTCTACGGTTTGTCCATCACGTTAATAGAAGGGTCTCTGGACAAAAGGTGGGGTACACCCTGGCTACGTTGCCAGTCCATTGCAGGGCAACATAAAGAAACAAATCACAAAATTATTCATGTTTTTGGACTCTTTGGAAAAGCCATAGTAACAGAAGTAAACCCATGCATGCACAGGAAGAACATTTAAATACCGTGCAGAAGACGGCAGGCTGGGGATCAAACCCGGGACCTTCCTGTTGCAAAGCAGCAATGCTGTGCAGCCCCTAGTTAATAATATTTTAATTGAAAGGAAAAAAATAAATTGATAAAAGAAAACATACAATTTAAAGCCACTGACTATGCAGTGCCAACTGTAAGGATAACGTTCCACAAAAGATCACCTGCACAGACGTGTATAACAAAGTGTAAATCCGTCCAGGTCAGGTGGCAGGAGGAGGCTTCAAAGTTCCACTCTCTGATTGGAAACAAATACAAGCAGAAGTTTCCAGGTCACCGTGTCTGACTGACTTTCACATTAAGTCTCCAGAATAAAACTTTCACTCAGGCAGCATTTCACTGTCGCCATCCAGTCAAACCAAGAGACAAAGCAAACGCAAACTCTGCCGCAGTGTGGGAGTTAAAAATGGAAAGTGCAGCTGTTTTGCTTGCATAAACCCTCTCTGATGCGGACCGCTTCAGACAGAATTCATTTAAAATCAGTCATTTGGAAAGACAGATTAACAGAAGGTGCTTGTATACTATGAGTCAAGTGAAGGACAGTTTAAGGTAATTGAAGAAATACTTAAAAGTGTCCTAGTTTCCAATGCCACCCCTAAATCCCAGTTTGAGTTCACAATAAGCTAGATATCTTCATGAATGCCCTAGATAACTGAATACCGTATCTGTATACAGCCTCATGAGGTATGTTAAAG